AAGGAGCTGCTGGTGCGGCGCAGGGAGCTGGTGCTGGTCAGGGAGCTACTGGCGCTGGTCAAGGAGCTGCTGCTCAAAGAGCTGCGGCTGGAAACGCCAATGCGAATGCCAATGCCAACGCCGCCGATGCAAATGCCAACGCCAACGGAAATTCGAATGCCAATGGAAACGCCAACGCCAATGGGAATGCAAATGCGCAACTAGGAAACGCTGCGAACGCGAATGCTAACGCCAACGCAAATGCCGCGAATGCCAACGGCAACGCCTGCGCCGCAAAGAAGCGCTCCACCAAAGCCCAGGCCGCGACGAAGGCGAAGAACTAGATGCGAGGACGAGTGTGCTGCATTACCCCACACTTCAGCTCTACGTTAGATGCATATAGAGAGACTTGTAGGACATTAGTTGTTTGTTAGGGTAGTTAGTTCTTTACTTGGTTTGGAAAATAAGGAGCCATTCGCTTGGGGATTCTTATTATGTAGATTCTTGATTTTTTATGTGTATGTAGACGGGACGGGAGAGTATGGGTGGTTTTGATGATTGATTGATTGATTGATTGATTGTGCGGGTTCGTGTGTAGTGAGTGACTGTATGATATGGCATGGCATGTGAATTGCTTGGATAGTGGCGTTTGATCTTTTTCTCTACATGTATTAAGAACTGAGGATGTCGTCAAATGCGAGCACGAGTTGGGTTTGGATGAGGTAATCAAGCCAAGGGTGACGTCACCCGAAACGCAACCTCTAGTTCTATCCGTCGCACTTCCACTCTATTACATGCATTCTCGTGTCCACCACCCGCACATCGCCCCATTATATACATTCACATATTCACCGTTCGTATTTCTTGTACATCTCTTCACCACGCCCAAAACCTAAATTGACTGCTCGTTCTACACCTTCCAGGTCTTCTGCGTCCTCGAGAGGAAAAGGGTCGAAACTGCTAGCAGACCTGCACCAAGCAAGCACGATACACCAGCGAAGACTTGCAGACCCATGAAGTCAGTGTCGTGTTGGCGATGAAGGATTGCGCCCATGATGGGGAGACCGGTCAGACTGCTGTATCAGAAGTCAGCATCGCGCAAGTATCGCGAGCAGCAGGATACCAAGAGGTAGACGTCACTAACCTAAGACCAATAATCGTCTGGAACGTGCCGAATCTCACACCGAGAGTCTCCAAAGTACCCGTCTTAGCGGCGCAAGGCATGAGCAGTGAGACGAATGCGCCGCTGGCAAAGCCGTATATTAGCCCGAAAACGATGATGCCTGCATGCGAAGGGTGGTAGTTGAAAGGGAGCCAGAGTGCGAGAATGGATCCGCCGGTGAACAAAGAGCAGAGTGTGATGACATTGAAATGGCCGAAACGGTCACCCAAGTACGGGGGTAAAATACGGCCGGGTATGGAAGTCGCGCTGTTCTGTCAGTTTAATCTACAGAGAGGATTGGCCATATTGGAAGATGCTTACTTGATGATGGAGATAAGGTAAAGAGCTAGTGTAGGTGAAAAGTTGGCCCTCTCCATGGCCATACTTGAGATGAAGTTGAATGGCGCCCATAGACCCCACCTGGTATCGCGTTCAGCAAATGTACACTTGGTCGGTGGCAATCGGGCCCACTCACATGACTAGGAAAGCTCCCACGGTATACACGGCAAATTCCTTCTGCTTGAACATGGCGAGGTCAATCCACTTCAGTTCCGGGTTCCATTTCTTACGCGGCATGCGCGACGTTACCATGGCACACGAGACCGCGAGGAGAATGCCGATGAACAAGGCGGTATACCGAACTGCACCCTTGAAGCCGACTTGTTTCTGCACGCGGTCAAAGAAGATCGGGAAGATGACCCCGCCAAGACTACTTCCCGCAGCCGCGAGACCAATGGCGAGACCTCGGCGGCGTACAAACCACTGCCCTACGCAAACGAGAGCCGTTGTGAAGATGCCGCCCGAGCCGATGCCGAACGCGAGTCCTTGCGCAAGGAAGATGCTGTAATAGTTCTCCGCCAGACTGGCCATGCAAAGTGCCAGGACGCACAAGACACAGCTTGGGTAGAGCACAGGCGCTGGGCCCCACGTGTCAATGACGCGGCCAAAGAGCGGCCCTGGGAGCCACATGAGCGCCAGTTGCAACGCGAAGATCCACGATATATCGGACGGCGTGTAGTCGCGAAGATAGGTCTGCTGATATGTGGTCTGGAAGACGCCCATGCTGCGAGTAAACCGTTAGTACATGGGCAAGAGAGACGTGAGCCGTTCACGTACGCGTTCAGAAATCCAAAGGTGCAGAACAATAAGATGAAGCCGCCGAGCACACAGAGCCAGCCGCGGACGCCTTCTTCGGGTGCCAGTCCTGGGACTGCAGGCGCAGGCTTCGGCACCTGAGATTCCTTGTCGACTTCGAGCATTGAAGCTTCTCTGCTGGCTTCCAGCATTGTCGTGTCGGTCATGGCGGAAAACGATGCGATTGTTGTGGTGGTTTCCGCATTTCTACCGAAAGAGGCGGTCTTTTAAGGTACGATGCGGGAACAGCAGTGCTGTTGAGGAGATCCGCGCAGCTACTGTGCTTGTTAATCGAACAGACAACAAGGCGTAAAGCAAACTGGTCCATTATATCCGTAAAGTTGTGAAGATAGTACGGAGCAGTTGACGTTCAAGGCCGCACTTAGTGGCGGCTGCAAGTGCCGACAGCGGCGAAGGCGTTGATTGGTTGGTTGGGCAGCTTACCAATGGACAGGAGGGCCACAGGAACTCCGCAAGGCTGGGACTAAGGAGATGGTAGGATCCACGCGCCTCCAAAACAATCATGCTAACGCAGCAATATAAATCTAGAACGCTACGTCCTGTCTGGGACCCGACATGGCGGATGCAGGTTCCGACGAGACGCTCGTGTCGCACGCTGCGCAGGTCTGCCTGATCTGCAAGGCGCGGAAGAAGAAGTGCGACAAAGCTTTGCCCTCTTGCAATTATTGCATCAGGAAGAAGTTACAATGTGCTTACTCGACGCCGCAGACACAGTTCCTATCTCGAGCACAACTCCGGAGCTATCCTTCACTATCTCCGTCAGAGTCAGACACCGTTCAGCCCTCGCCGTCACCGTACGTTCTATCGCCAACAGTTCCGCTCAACCCCCTAGAATTAGCGACCAGTCTGAACCTCCAAGTTAACCGCCTGATACGATCGACTGGACAGTTCGTCGACGATATCAGCGCCCAATACTTTCAAGGCATCCACCGCTATCTACCAGTCATCTCACGGACACGCTTCCACGACAACCTCGTCACTTCGGGCGCAGCACCATCTGCAGGGTTCTCTGTGCTTCTGTTAGCCATATGCGTGGTATCCCCGGTTCCCACAGTCGGGCGGGTACGCGAGGATGCATCCAGTACTTCTCAAGCAGTTGACCGGCAGCAGCTCTATCTCACTGCCAAGTCTCTGCTCGCCCAAGTCCAGGGCTCTTCCCCGGTCTCTGTGCACTTGATACAAGCGGCACTTCTCTTGTCTCTCCACGAGTATATGGAAGGGAGGCCAGACGATGCGCTGGCATCCATTGCAGGTTGTGCTCGAATGGCATACACTGCCCGCATTCATATACGCGACCACTCGTCTTCGCCCTTCGCACCACCGAACACGCCGGGTACCAACTCGGAATCGGACACCTCCGCAGTTGCAAATGCAGATAGCTGGCTCCAAGCTGAAGAAGCCGCGAACACTTGGTGGGCCATTGTGATCTGCGAGCGGTAAACCTAAATCTTCCGCTGTGCCTAGCACTTTGACGCTATATTTTAGATGCTAATATTCTCAATTGGCAGGAGATACATATGTGATGCGTCGGTTTCTGAGCAGCCGCTCATCACCATGTTCATAAGCGCAGACGCCCAACTCCCAACCGAGCCCGAAATGCTGGAGCATGCCGACCCTTCGATCATCGGCCATATCCCGTATGCGCCTGTCCACTCCATGGAGGCCTCCTACGCCAAAGGATTCGGTCGCGCCGCCCAAGCCACCTGGTATCTAGATCGAATTCTCCAAAGCTTCCAAATACCCGACCTCGACACCAGACTCGACCAATTGCAATCCATCGACATTGCCCTACAGCAATTCCTAGGCATTCTCGTGCTCCAATGCAACAGCACAACGCATGTATTCTGCGAGGCCATGACCATCGCCCTCAGGTGAGTACCTTGCGACGCCCCATATCGCATTCCATCCCCACGGTCATCTGCTCAACTGCGCTCCAGGACCTTCTTCGCCCTCCACTTGCACATTCTCGATTTGCAGCTGCAGCCCGCTTCCATGCTGGACCGGCCTCTCGACGAGTGCATCGCCACCTCGCATACAGCGCTCGTCACAGGCCTGAGAATGGTGGTGGACATCGTCGAAACGCTCGACAAGACCGACACGCGCACTTTCCGTGCTGTCACCCCGGGCTACCGCTATGTTGTGCGCGCGGCACTGCGCTATATCGCGCGACGGGGGTCGCTCGGAGAGGGAGAGGAAGACGCATGGTTCCGCACCGCAGAGGAGCGACTTCGCGCGTCGCTCGAGCGCTTCGTGTAGTATTGTTGAGGCTTGGGGAGGCAGCGGTTATATCGGCTACTCTTGATGCAGGCAGGAAATGTACGAGATCTATACTTGCTGTTTCGCGATCAATGATTAGGAGGCTTTCTACAGAGTGCTCGGCTTGTCGTCCTCGTCCTAGATAGATACTAGCATCCCGCTCAACACCGTAACTGCCAACACATCCTCAATTATCAGCCAAGCACTGTGAAAAGCCGTAATAACGAATATAACTATTTTACAAAGAATCAAGCGCTAAGACAAGACACACTACCCAGAATATTATTTGACCAAGCTAGACAACACATAATATGTTCAGATGCTACCCTTCTCACACCACCACCACCACAACAACAACAACACACCTACAAAAAAAAGAAAACCCCCTCACGCTACCTACCATACACCTACCAAGGCCCAAAAAAAACTCCAAAAAAATTAAATGATTTGATTCGAGGGAGGCTCGATCTCCCGACCTTCAGTGACCCAACAAGTGTGAAATTGTTAGACTGACGTGATAACCAACTACACCATCGAACCATTTGAATATAGTGTTTTGGGGGTTTTGTTGGTATATATTGGGTGCTGGGAAGATAGGATGAAGTGAGGGCTGGTGAGGGGTGAAAGGTGAAAGGTGAGTGGTAATTGGGTGAATAATTGTTTGTGGGACGGGACGGGGTAGAGTGGGTGGGTTACTGGATTGGGACTACGGGCCGAGTTTGCACGGTGCGTTACGACAGGGGGGTTTTGCATACTAGAGGTATGAGAGCATAGGCACCTGATAGGTATAGGAAGGTATAGGCACGATATGTCTATTATTTATTTTTGAGCATTCTCGTGCGCTTCGCATCTTGGTCTATAACAATATTGGGTGTCGAAACCTCCTTTGCATTGTTCATAGACAGACAGCTACGAAAAGTTCTACTCGAGCTTGACTAACATGCACAAGCGAACACCAACGGCGCGCGCACACAAGCCTTTGGAAGGATTTTTTTTGGAGCAAGCTTGGGCTTGAGTATAGGGAAAGTTTGCGCGAGTAACCCAAGTACGGTAATTATTTTCTGGTACGTTCCTACCCACTTGCCTCGACAACGCTGTACGTGGTATACTCGATACAATACAATAGCGCTGTGCAAAGATGAAGGTTAAATACTGACCTACGTCTAGAAACTCTCAAACTGTTAATAAGATCACCGCGAGTCCAATCGTTATCGTTAGACTACCATCGCAGATTTCCGCCAGCCAGGCGGTTGCGGTGATAACGTTACGGCGATGCGGGGTTTCTCCGCCGCGATCCCTGCCCTGCACTGCATCACTCTTTGTACACCACCACTCACACTCTACCAAAGCGCGTTCAGTCTTATTTCTTCGTGACGCCGTGTCGTTCTCCCGCGGCGCAGAACATGACGGTCGCAATGCTGCGTGCAGGGCTTAGGTGGCTCCAAGGAAGGTAAGGTAGTCTAGGTACGTACTGTAGACGTTCGCGGCTACGACGAGCTTCATTTGACAATCTGGATGAGGGGTCTTCTCTCTCCTCCCTTTCTTTCCTTACATTTCGTTTTCTGGTCCGTACCTTGAGGTAGGATCTAAGAACAAGACTCTTTGCTATACCGAGAAGCGTTTTTCGCTTCCCTGACTGCATTTTTAACCCCGGGTTTATCGACATCGCCACTCGCAGCTACCAACGCATGTCCAATCTCACGATATAATATCTCCGGTTACGATCCATCAGTCAGGAAATGATGGAGTGCTTCTTCCGGCATCTGTGCTCGGCTTTCGATTTGAGCAATCTTTTCAGGGGCATCAGCCATCCATCACGCTGGGCAAGTATATCCACCACAGCTTTCAGCAACGACAAAACCACTCAATCACCTTGTATTGCATACCACCCAATCCGAGCACATGGAGCCATAGCCGCCATCTTACCCGCGCGAGATGCATATGACTCCAAAGGTTGACGGATTTATACGGTAGGCCATTCGAACGACGAGTCTCCGAGGATCGGTTAATTGGGTAGCACAATGTCCATAGGGACAACTTGAAAAGTAGAAAGGGGTTCATGTTCTATGGTCAACACGTCTGCTCAAAATATATCAGCATGCAGTCCATTGCGAAACAAGATATCAGTTGTTCCTATCCTACTTATCGTCACCATGAATACCGTCATCTTGTTAGGCCTTCTAAACGAGACTACACCTACCCACCAGAGGACGAAGACCTTGTCGCTATAAAGAGCAATGGCCCTGGCTGCCCGGGTAGAAACAAACACGGCCGTATTTCGGTTGTAGGTACGTAAACACAAGGGACTCGTGGTCGACTGTACACACATCAGTTGGGATCAGCTATGTCGATCGCCTTTGCTTCAGACAACGGCTAACTCTGAACTTGCACAAGACTACATGTGGCGTAGTACTGACAACGTGGACGACGAGACCGACCTCACCTTTCAAACGGCCCTGAATCTCCCAACCACATGGCCATCCGCCGCCTCGAGCCCGGGGTGACCCGGCTAAGGATGCCTATCGCTAGTGAACCACGAATGGCAGGCTAAGAACTCAGACGGATACATACCGCCTAAACGTAAACAAGGATGGGACTGCGATCTTCGCTCGGTACAGACGGACGCAGGCGTATCCGCCGTGCGGAAGGTCACTTTCTACCTTCCAGATGGCTCCGAGCTACGTCTTGCCGACCTCTAACCAGCGCGTCTATCCGGGATTTTTGCCGTCCGTTGCACGGGCGAAGTCGTACAAAACGGGCTACAATGCAAACGAGCCGGTCATCAAGATGGAGACTGAGCTCAGTGCTCACCATTGGGGGCGAGCAGGCTGGAGATGTTTGGGGCGCAAATGAAGACGATTTCAATAATAGGATCATGCAGGTTTTGACGTATGACTGGGAGAAGTGTGAGTAGAGAGTCAAAGAAAGAGAGAGGGAGAGAGAATGAGCGCTCAGGTGTGCAGTGAACGGAGGTATCGGACGATGGCGGGACAAGAGCGGAGGAGAGTTGATCGAGACAGTTCTTCGCGACGAGCTTGTGCCACCTCCTTTGTAGTTTCTCATGCCTCAGCAGCCTTGTCTCAGCTACAAGCAACGCAGGCAATCCACGATTCTGACAGAAGCTGCCTTGCATGTGTGGGCCAAAAGCGGGTGCTTGCTAAGGACAGCTTGACGTTCGCCACCACAGCTGGCCGTGAACTTCTCGACGGGGTTGGACAGCATGCCTAAAGGCCGTTATTCGATGTCAACACGTGTGAAAGGCGTTGTTGTGGAAGTTGTGATGAGGAAGGACGTCGATGTCGCTAGTAGCTCGGATTATGTAAGCGACCGTGATTTTCCCTCCCCGCGCTCTCCTTCACGACCTTTTCGTCCCATCCCCTATCCCCCATCATCATTCACGACCCCCACATTACCCCTTATATCAACTTCTTCGCGGTACTTACGCGCCCCGACTGACCCCAGGCCGCCGCTATCGAAAACTCAGAAAGGTTGTCATCGATTTCTAAGACAGCCTAACGCAGGCCCCGAGTCCGTGCCCGCGGAGCGCACAACACATGCCGTCCGCTCGCGGCTCACCATGATGCTCGATTGAACAGCGGCTCCACCGACGTGCGCGGCGGGCCAAGAAACAGACCGTCGCACCTCTGCCAGAGGCGTTTTCTTTTTGGAGGCATGCCAAGAGGTGCGAAGAAGTCGGGCTCAAACTCAAAACCCCCGGCCACCATCGATGAAGCATCTCGCGGCCCCACCGTGCCAACACGCCAATTGTCTCAGCGGAAGCTTCGACGGGCCGAGCTCTAGTGCCGAGGGAGGTTGACCACCGACGATCGCTTCCCAGGACGAACGCAGTGGAGAAACACTGCCAAGAGCGCTATCGAGCCTCACGCCGCTAGCATGCCTCAGGCGCCTAGCGACTCCTTAACCGGTTCCAAGGCGAGTCGAGGCGATTCTTCTCTGAAGATTCGTGCTTGGCATCTTGACTTCGCATACGAAGTTAACGTTTGCGCCTTCAAGCTTGTATGCCCGCGTTCATGCATATGCAGCTGCTGTCGAATCCAGCTTATTCTTGCCCTTGAAGTTAAGCGAGCAGACCTCGTTGTATCTGCACTCCGAACCTGGCACTCCATGGAAAACACAACAAAGGTCGTGTCGTTCATAAATTTCTCCGGGACTGGCATTATCCCTTTCCGGCAATTCGCCGCTCTGATCAGCGGTAAACAATCTTTGTTGAGTCCTAAATCCCGAGTCCCGACAGTGCATCGACCGAGGTCCGCACCTCGCTTCTTCCTCCCCGCGGAACGTATGTATCTGACAGAGCCTGATTCGGTATGAAGTCTTGGCTGCTACAAGAGCACACTCACTTCTTTTGAGCCTGGACTTCGGGGACCGATCCCGCTCTAGAGTTTTGCCTCAGCTATTCCGCACTTAGCAGGGCTTGGCGGGGCATCCCAAAAGTTTTGCGCTCGCTTCAAACAGCGGGATGGCCTTGGCAGTGAGGTAGGACTGCGTCGTGCTAGGGTCTTTGCCATGTTAGGTTGGCGAACTCTTGGCCTGGCTTCACAGAAGTTTCAAGCTCACAATCAAACGGCGGGAACACCTTGGCGAGGGATACCTGATGGTCCCGACCACGAGGCTGCGGATCGATATAAGAGATGCGAATCAGCCCACTTCTTCTGCTCTTCAGTCCGGCCACTCACTTCACTTCTTCATCCTTTAAACATAATCCCCACAGCTGTCGCCGTGCGATAGTCTTTGTTTTATTATTTATTTTCAGATCACATATTCCTTTCGGCAATCTATACCTCACCCTCTTTCCATTTCATCCGAATAATTACTTCCAACCAACCGACAGAATGCTTTCTCAATACGTTCTCGTTGCCCTCGTTGCGGCTGTCTCTGCCGTTCCCCTAAACATCAACTTGGGCGCCTATTCACCTGCCCTGGTAGTCGGTGATGGCGAGATCACACTGGGAACGTCGGAATCAGCCTCAGAGCTGATGTCAACGCTGCAAACAGGCGCCGTCGCAGCGGGAGAAGCCGAGGCACCACCAGGTCAGCAACCCGCAGAAGTCCCGGCGGAGGCCCCGGCCGAAGAGGCCCCCGCCGCTGAAGGCGAACAACCAGCTGAGGAAAACGCAGCTAAACGAGCCCCCAACCTTCGCCGATCCATCGACAACATTCTCGGCAAGCGTGCCGACCAGAAGATGGCCGCCGTCGAGGGCGCCATGGACTGGATCAAGCGCGATCTCCCCGGCTTCGAAGCCGCCCTCACCTACGCCCGCGAGGCCATGCAGAACACGCCCAAGATCGAGCTCGGCACCGAGCACTCCGGCGTCGGCATCATCGTCAACGCCGGTCTCAACGTCCCCGCCGACTCTGCTGCGAACGGCGAGCCCGCTGCCGAGCGGAAAGCCAAGCGCCAGGAAGTCGTCGCTGAGGAGTCCGATGCACCCAAGATGACTCTCGTTGCCATCACCGAAGTCTAAGCGCAACGTGGAATGGGAGTGGGCTTGATACCCTTGCAAAAGTTAACCAACATC